TGGGAGTTTGGGGGTTATGGGGGTGCTGGGCGGTTTTGGGGGGCTATGGAGGTGTCAGGGGGCTATCGGGGTTTTGGGGGGTGCTGGGAGGTGTCAGGGGGGCTATGGGGGGTGTCGGTGTTATGGGGGGTGCCGGGGAGTGTCAGGGGGTTATGGGGGTTTTGAGGTTATGGGGGGCACTGGGTGGTTTGGGGGGGCTTTGGGGGGTGTCAGGGGGGTCTATGGGGGTGTCGGTGTTATGGGGGGGTGCCGGGGAGTGTCAGGGGGGCTATGGGAGTTTGGGGGTTATGGGGGTGCTGGGCGGTTTTGGGGTATTATGGAGGTGTCAGGGGGGCTATCGGGGTTTTGGGGGGTGCTGGGGGGGTGTCAGGGGGCTATGGGGGGTGTCAGGGGGGCTATGGGGGGTATTGGGGTTTTGGGGGGTGCTGGGGAGTGTCAGGGGGTTATGGGGGTTTTGAGGTTATGGGGGGCGCTGGGCGGTTTGGGGGGGCTTTGGGGGGGTGTCAGGGGGGCTATGGCGGGTATTGGGGTTTTGGGGGGTGCTGGGGAGTGTCAGGGGGTTATGGGGGTTTTGAGGTTATGGGGGGCGCTGGGCGGTTTGGGGGGGCTTTGGGGGGTGTCAGGGGGGCTATGGGGGGTATTGGGGTTTTGGGGGGTGCTGGGGAGTGTCAGGTGGTTATGGGGGTTTTGAGGTTATGGGGGCGCTGGGCGGTTTTGTGGGGGCTTTGGGGGGTGTCAGGGGGGTCTATGGGGGTTTGGGGGTTATGGGGGTGCTGGGCGGTTTTGGGGGGGCTATGGGCGTGTCAGGGGGGCTATGGGGGTATCGGGGTTTTGGGGGGTGCTGGGTAGTGTCAGGGGGTTATGGGGGTTTTGAGGTTATGGGGGGCGCTGGGCGGTTTGGGGGGGCTTTGGGGGGTGTCAGGGGCGCTATGGGGGGTATTGGGGTTTTGGGGGGTGCTGGGGAGTGTCAGGGGGTTATGGGGGTTTTGAGGTTATGGGGGGCGCTAGGCGGTTTGGGGGGGCTTTGGGGGGTGTCAGGGGGTCTATGGGGGTGTCGGTGTTATGGGGGGTGCCGGGGAGTGTCAGGGGGGCTATGGGAGTTTGGGGGTTATGGGGGTGCTGGGCGGTTTTGGGGGGCTATGGAGGTGTCAGGGGGGCTATGGGGGTGTCGGGGTTATGAGAGGTGCTGGGGGTGTCGGGGGGCTCGGGGGCGTCGGGGCTATCGGGGGCGCCGTGTGTCTCCCCCCAGCGCGGGGACGCTGCCCGTGACGTTCCGGTGCCTGGAGGAGAACCTGGGGGTCGATCGACGCGTCACCCGCCTGGTGCTGCCCATCGGCGCCACCGTCAACATGGACGGGACGGCTCTGTACGAGGCCGTGGCCGCCGTCTTCATCGCCCAGATGAACGGCATCGCCCTGGACGGGGGGCAGATCGCCACCATCAGGTGAGCCCCCCGGCCCCAGCTTCCTGCCCCCCCGACCTCCCGCTTCCCGCCCCCCCCGGGCTCCCAGCCCCCCGGCTTCCCAGCCCCCCAGCCCCAGCTTCCTGGCCCCCCTGGCCCCAGCTTCCTGCACCCCAGGGCTCCCAGCCCCCCAGCTTCCCAGCCCCCTGGCCCCAGCTTCCTGGCCCCCAGGCCTCCCAGCCCCAGCTTCTTGCCCCCCCTGGGCTCCCAGCTTCCCGGCCTCCCAGCCCTCCGAGCCCCCAGCCCCCTCCCCAGTCCTCTGAGCCCCCCAGCTTCTTCCTCCCCTGGCCCCTGAGCTCCTGGGCCCCTGGGCCTCCAGCCCCACACCCCCAAATCCCTGAACTCCTGGCCCCCGGTCTTTCAGCCCCCCAGACAGGGTTGCCACCCTCCCGGTTTGGCTGGGAGTCTCCTGGAATCGGGCCGGGTCTCCCGGCGGCTACTGATGCCAAACCCGGAGATCGGTGGCGAGGTGGGGCTAAGGCAGCCCCCTGCCTACCACTGCCCCACACCGTCCCTTCGCGCTCTGCCCCCGCCCCCAGTGCCGACTCCGCAGCTCCCATTGGCCGGGAAGTGCGGCCAATGGGAGCGGCAGGGGGCGGTGCCTGCAGGTGCACCCTCCTGCACCCCAGCCCAGTGAAAGTGAGGGAGGGTGGGGGAGAGAGAGCCACGGAGGGATGGAGGGAGTGGGGCGGGGCCGCTGAGAAGGGGCGGGGCAGAGGCGGGGCCTCGGGGCAGGGGCGGGGCCAGGGTGTTTGGGTTTGTGTGGTTAGACCCTCTGCAGCTCTATCTCCAGACCCCCAGCCCTCGAACTCCTGGGCCCCTGGCCCCCCAGCCCCTGGTCTGGGGCCGGAGGGGAGCCAGTGCCCTGATCAGGAGAAGGGTCCCCTGCCCCCTGCATTGACCCCCTGGCCCCCTCTCTGCCCCCCAGCATGACAGCCACCCTGGCCAGCGTGGGGGCGGCCAGCATCCCCAGCGCCGGCCTGGTCACCATGCTGCTCATCCTGACCGCCGTGGGGCTCCCCACGCAGGACATCAGCCTGCTCATCGCTGTGGACTGGCTGCTGTGAGTGCCGGGGGGCGGAGGGTTGTCAGGAGGCGGGGCTGGGTGAAGGGAGGGGCGGGGCAGAGGGGGCAGGGTGGAGAGGGGTGGGGAGGCTGAGGCAGGAGGGGGTTAGGGGGCAGGGAGGGGAGAGGAGGGATGGGGAGAGGTTAGGGGGCAGGGAGGGGACAGGAGTGGGCAAGAGGGGAGAGGAGGGAGTTAGGGGGCGGGGGGGCAGGAGGGATGTGGTGGGGGTCAGGGGGCAGGAGGAATGGGGAGGGGGCTATGGAGCAGGGAGGGGGGTCACCCCTTGTTGGTGTCCCCCAGTGCTGACCCCCAGCCCTGCCCCCCAGGGACCGCCTGCGCACCTCCATCAACGTGGTGGGGGACTCCTTTGGGGCGGGGATCGTTTATCACCTGTCCCGGGCCGAGCTGGCCGCTGTCGACGCCCGGGCCAAGGGGCACCCACCTGAGCCCCCCAGCCCCAAGCTCCCGCCGCTGCCCAACCACCAGGGGCCCCCCGAGGGCGCCGGGACGGGGTACACAGCCCTGCCCGCCGCCGACAGCGAGGAGGAGGAGCAGGTGAGGCCAGCGTGCTGCGAGCTTCCCCGCGACAGTGCCCCCGGCGCTGCGAGCTTCCCCGCGACAGTGCCCCCGGCGCTGCGAGCTTCCCCGCAACAGTGCCCCCGGTGCAGCGAGCTTCCCCGCAACAGTGCCCCCGGCGCTGCGAGCTTCCCCGCGACAGTGCCCCCGACGCTGCGAGCTTCCCCGCAACAGTGCCCCCGGCGCTGCGAGCTTCCCCGCGGCAGTGCCCCCGGTGCTGCGAGCTTCCCCACGACAGTGCCCCCGGCGCTGCGAGCTTCCCCGCAACAGTGCCCCCGGTGCAGCGAGCTTCCCCGCGACAGTGCCCCCGGCGCTGCGAGCTTCCCCGCGACAGTGCCCCCGACGCTGCGAGCTTCCCCGCGACAGTGCCCCCGGCGCTGCGAGCTTCCCCGCAACAGTGCCCCCGGCGCTGCGAGCTTCCCTGCGACAGTGCCCAGGGTAATTTGGTTCCTGTCCCGAGCAGGCGGAGACGCCGTCGTGGGAGCCGGGGGCCGAGGCCGAGGGGTCGCCGGGCAGTGACCAGGAGGAGAAGGAAGAGGAGGAATAACCAGGCCCCGACCCAGAGCAGCTACCACCAGTGGGGGGAGCAGGAGGGGGGGATTAATTCTTTGTATTCAGTTCTGCCCCAAATCACTGGGTGGGGGCCCCCCGCATCCCCCCAGCCATGCTCTGTACCCAGCCCCTGCCCCACCCCAGAGGGGCCCATCCCAGTACCAGGAGAGGGGTTCCCAGATGCCCCCCCCGAGGGGTCCATCCCAGGACCAGGAGAGTGGGTCCCCGGATAGGGGCAAGGGGCAGCATGACTCTAGACATATTGTGGATACAGGGCTTGTGGGGGGGTTGCAGCTCCTTCTGTTGACCCCCCACTGGCATCCACCCCCCACTCACAGGCCCCCTGGCCCCCCCACCTCTGCCTGCCCTGCTGGGGAATGGGTACATCCAAAGGGGTGGGGGGGGGAGCTCTTGATCGCCACCCCCGAGCTGGGGCCTGTCCGTCCAGCCCCATGCACCCCCCATCTGTCTGTCCAGCTCCATGACCCTGTCTGTCTGTCCAGCCCCATGCACCCCCCATCTGTCTGTCCAGCTCCATGACCCTGTCTGTCTGTCCAGGCCCATGCACATCCCCCCCCATCTATCTGGGGTTTCACTGAGCCCCACACAGCCCGTGGGTCATGCCCCCAGCTCATTCCCCAGCAGGAAAATTCCCAGTCTCCCCCCCTGCCAGCTATCTGTTTTCCCTCCCATCCTGCCCCCCCTTTACACAGGCTCCCCAAAGGCCCAGCTGCCCCCCCCTACTCTGGCCTTCTCCCCACCCCCGACTCCTCCCCCCACCCCAGTCTCAGCCATCAGGGGGCACCTGGACTATGCCCCCCCTCACTCCTGGGGCGGGGGCCCTGTTTGACTCATAACTCCACCGGGCCCCATGGTTCTGCCCCGCTGAGTTCTGACCCCCCCCCCAACATCAACCCAGCAACACTGGGCGGGGGGACCTCAGGGTTTGTAATAAACTAAAACCTGCCGCCAGCTTTGGGCTTGGCCCTGTTCCATGCTGGGGGAGGGAATCGTGGGGCAGGGCCTCTCCCAGCGGACGCCTGATCTTTGCCCCCCTCCCAGCTTCTCAGGCGGGGCATGGACGGCTCAGGCTCTCGGCAGAGCCAGGCAGCCGGTGTCACGGGGTCCCCGGGCGCTGCCCTGGATCTGCTCCCCCCGCAGCCAGGCAGGACCCTGGGGGAGTCTCCTCTCCGGGAGCAGCCTGTCTGCAGGACCCACAGCTCCCCCGGCTCCACCTTCCTGGGGTGACCCCGGAGCCTCCAGCCTCCCCTGACCCTCCGGGCGCTTCCCACAGCGAGTCTGCCCAGGCGGGGTCCTGGGGGGGCCAGAGGGTCCTGCCCCCGACTCCGCAGTCAGACGTGACTCTCAGCCAGCCAGTAAAACAGAAGGTTTATTAGACGACAGGAACATGGTCTAACACAGAGCTTGCAGGTGCAGAGACCAGGACCCCTCAGCCGGGTCCATTTTGGGGGGCAGGGAGCCAGACAACCCCGTCTGCCCTTCACTCCTCATCCCCAGCCAGCCCCAAACTGAAACTCCCTCCAGCCCCCCAACCCCCTCCTCTGGGCTTTGTCCCTTTCCCGGGCCAGGAGGTCACCTGAGTCCTTTGTTCTCCAACCCTTTAGCTCTCACCTTGCAGGGGGGAAGGGCCCAGGCCATCAGTGGCCAGGAAACAGGGTGTCGGCCATTGTCTGTGTCCAGCCCCCTGCACACACCTGCCCTCTAGGGCTCTGCAAGGATCATACACCCTTATCCCACCCCCTAGAGACTTAAGAACTGCCTAGGGGAAACTGAGGCACCCCCACACTATTCAGAGGAAACATTAAGAACAGTCCCGCTTCGTCACACGGTGCTCTGGCAGAGACACCCGGGGAGGCTCCCCCAAGCGCCGGGCGCAGGCTCTCGGCAGACCCAGGCAGCGGTGCTCTGGCAGTGAAACCCGGGGCGGCTCCCGCCAGCGATGGTGGAAGGAGGCAGCAGCCGCTGGGGTGGAGCTGAGGTGATGGGCAGATGTTAGCAGCTGCTGCAGGGGCGGGGGCGGGGTGAAATGGGATAATGAGCCCCCAGGCCGTCAGCCAGCCAAATCTCAGTGTTGGGCTGGTGCGGGGGGCCCCCAGCAAGGCTTGGGGGAGCCCAGGGCTGGGCTAGCAGGGGCTGCGTGTTGGGAGTGAGGGGCACCGGCAGAGCGGGTTTGTTTTTGTAGGGTCTCCCTCATTTTCTGACCAGCAAAGGAGGCCGGGCAGGTGGGTTGGGGGGTGGGAACCCCATTTATTTAAACTCACAAGCCACATTAGATCTAAGAGCAACTGAAGAGCCGAACCCCAGAATGTCCTGACGGCTGGGGGGGGCAGCCCCCCCCCAGTCCCTTGGGGAGGCAGATCCAGACGCTCCCTGGGTCAGAAATAACCCAGCCTGGGGGGGAGGGGCATGTGTGCTCCCACCATGGCAGGACAGAGAGGAGTGGAGACTAGTGGTTAGAGCTGGGGGTGTGGGAGCCAGGACGCCTGGGTTCTATTGTGGGGGTCTCAAAGGAAGTTCCCAGCGGGGAGGTTAGCCGGGGACAGACACTCCAGCCTTGGGGGGCTCGGCTTGGGCTGCTCGGAGCCAGTAGGCCCTGGAGTCTTGTCCCCAGGGGGTGTCTGTGGGGCAGGGACGGGGGGCTGCGGTGGGGGGCAGGGCCAGGGCGGGGCCTGAGCTGGCTGCAGGGGGGCCGGGAACTTGTTGTCGTCCATCTCGTAAAGGAACCAGTCGTACGAACCCTTGGGGCTGTCCAGGTTCAGAGCTGGAGGAAGGAGACACGAGTCAAGGATGGAACCCAGGAGTCCTGGCTCCCAGCCCCCACCCCGAAACCAGGAGGCCCTGCTCCCCTTCCAGAGCTGGGGAGAGAACCCAGGAGTCCGGGCCCCACTCACCGAGGTCCTCGAGGGACCCGTCCTGCAGGCGCTGGTGTGCGAAGGGCGACCCCTTGGCCCCCCGGCGGTAGGCGCAGTAGATCCCAGAGAAGAGGCAGAGAAGGAGGCCGGAGGCCGCGAGGAAAAGGCCCATGGCCTGGCCCCCCCGGACCCATGGTGCTCCTCAGGCCGGCCTGTGCGGGCAGGAGAGAGCGCTGGGACAGGACCCAGGCGTCCGGCTCGCCCGCCCCTCCCACTCTGCTTCTGCACTCCCAGCCCCCCTGGACCCCCTCGCCCAGCAATGCCCCAGTCACTCTGCACTATGCCAATGCATTGACCCCCTTTCTGCCCCCCACAGCTCCCCTTCTGCACCCCGCCTGCCCCATGCACCCCCTCTCTGCCCCCACAGCTCCCCCATCTTCCCCCCACCTTCCCCACACACCCCCTCTCTGCCCCCACAGCTCCCCTGTCTTCCCCCACCTGCCCCATGCACCCCCTTTCTGCCCCCACAGCTCCCCATCTGCCCCCACCTGCCCCATGCACCCCCTCTCTGCCCCCCACAGCTCACCTTCTGCACCCTACCTGCCTCATGCACCTCCTCTCTGCCCCCCACAGCTCCTGTCAGCCCCCCACTCTCTGCACCCCCTTTCTGCCCCCCACAGCTCCCCCACATGCCCCCCATCTGCCCCATGCACCCCCTCTCTACCCCCACAGCTCCCCATCTTCCCCCCACCTGCCCCACGCACCCCCTCTCTGCCCCCACAGCTCCCCCATCTTCCCCCACCTGCCCCACGCACCCCCTCTCTGCCCCCACAGCTCCCCCCATCTGCCCCCACCTGCCCCATGCACCCCCCTCTCTGCCCCCCCACAGCTCCCCCGTCTGCCCTCACCTGCCCCATGCATCCCCTCTGCCCCCCACAGCTCCCTCATCTGCCCCCACCTGCCCCATGCACCCCCTCTCTGCCCCCACAGCTCCCCATCTGCCCCCCACCTGCCCCAAGCACCCCCTCTCTGCCCCCACAGCTCCCATCTGCCCCACTGCCCTGTGCACTTACCCTTCTGCCCCCCCACCTGCCCCATCCACCCCCTTTCTTCCCCCACTTCCCCATGTACCCCACTTCTGCACTCCCACACTCTCCTTGTACAGCCTGTCCTCCTGCACCCCCATACCTCCCTCTGCACCCCCCTTTTATGCCCCTAAGCACACCGCCCACCTGCGCACTCCTTCCTCGCCCCCAAATACACCACCCTTGCTGCCCCACCCTAACCCCCAACTCCTTCCCCATGCACCCCCATTCCCCCAACCCCTGCCCCCCTCTGCCCCCCCCGTATGCCCTCTTTACCTCTTCGCTCCACCCGTTCCACCAGCAGAACCATCTTGACCCCCCCGCGCCCCGGCGCCCCCTGCCGGCCCGAATCTCCTGCTGCAGTCCCGGGGGTCCTCTGGGGGGCGCCGTCACCTGGGATCCCCTGGCCCAGTGTCGCCGTAGGGTGGGCCAGGCTGCTGGGGAGCAGGGAGGGGCTGGGGGGAGCAGAGCGCGGCCCTGTGGGGCCAGGGGACGTGGGGGCAACGGGGGACTCGGGGGACCATCCGGTGTCAGGAGAGGGGGGAGGGGAGAGGGGTCCCCTGCTAGCCAGGGCGGAAGGGGGGGACCAAGGGGCAGGGGGGGACGGGGGCTGGGGGGCACCGGCAGCGAGACAAGCCCCGAGGGCCAGCAGGGCGGCCAGCAACAGCTGAGAGCCCCGGGGCAGCATCACTTGGTGCTGGGGGGATCTCCGGGAACCAGCACCTGCGAGGGGTGAGAAGGGGTTAAACTCGGGGGTTGGCCCCCCGTCCCGCGCCCCAGAGCCCAGCGCCCCCTGCCGGCCCCCGGCCCCACACCCCAGCGCCCCCTGCTGGCCCCCCGCCCCGCCCCCCAGAGCCCCCTGCCAGTTCCCTGCCCCGCCCCCCAGAGCCCAGCGCCCCCTGCCGGCCCCCCGCCCCGCCCCCCAGAGCCCCCTGCCGGCCCCTTGCTTACCCCCTAACGCCCCCTAGCGCCATCCTGGGGTGTCGGCACCCTGCGAGCCCCGTGCCCCGGTGGGATGGGGACGATGCAGGCGTAACCATAGCTATGGCAGGGCCCCCCCCGGGACTCCCCCCCTCCCGCTCCTGGTTACCAGACTCCGTTGTTGGCAACGTCTCCCCGGGGGCTGGGGTGGTACCTGCCACCCCAGAGCAAACAAACCCTCTTCCCGACCCCGGGCGCTAGGGGGCGCTGGGCTGCGGGGCGGGGGGGCTCAGTAGGGGACGCTGGGGTTGGGGGTGCAGGGCCAGCAGGGGGTGCTCTCCCCCAGCACACAGGGCTGCCCCAACACCCCAATTTAACCCCCAAATTTGGGGTACCTACCCCCCCTGTCCCCTTATCAACACTCCCAGGGCGGACTGGCACATTGCCCCTTTAAATACAAAGGGGGGGGTAACAGCTGGCCATCAAAAGGCTGCGGGGGACACCGGGGATTTAAAGGTGTTCACCCCCCCTTCTCCCTTCCACCCAGGGCCTGACCCCTCTATGCTAGACTGGAGGCCAAAAAATCAAGCCCTGTCCCTTTAAATTCCCTTGGACAAAAATAATGGGGGGGTGGATTTAAAGGGGCAAACACCTCCCTAAAACCCACCCACCAGATCCCTGCTCTCTAGGGTTGGGCCCCAGCTCAGCTGGAATTGGGCGTTGTCCCTTTAAATACCTGGAGGGGGAGAGAGCTTATAAACAGCTCCAGACCCTTTGACGTCTAAAGGGGTACAGCCGGCCTCCGAAAACAGGGCACTGTCCCTTTAATTACCTGGGGGTGGGGAGAAATCAGCCCTCCCCCCAGATATCTAAGGGGTGCACCCCTCCTCCCCGAACAGATTCACCCCCCACAGAAATCAGGGAACTGGTCTTTTAAATACTTGAGGAGAAAAATGTGGGGGGGTCCCATCTCCAGCCCCCCCACCCCAGCCAGGACCCCCCCAGGGCAGCCCACACGGGGGTGGGGGGGCGCTTCCTGTTACCCCGTGTTTGACTCACCTGGGTGGGGGGCAGAGAGCAGGGGAAACTCCAGCTGGTGCTGGGAGGGAGAGATGCACAATGAGCCAGGACGGGGGGTGGGGGCAGCTCCTTCCTAGCAGCCCCCCCGGGATATGGGGGGGGATGACGCATGTGCCCCCAGTGGGGACGGGCACTAGTAACAACTCAGCAATAACAGCTGTGGCTCGGCTGTGCCTTCTGGGGGGGATGGGGACGGACGACTGTTGACCGGGGGGGGGGGTGCTGCAGGGAGCAGGTGGGGACACTGTGCCCCCCACCCTGCGTAAGCCCTCCCAGCAGCTGTCCCGAGCTCCCACATGGGACCCAACCCCGCAAAACCCTTCACAGGCCAGGCCAGGCCAGCCCCCCCCGCCCCGAGACCCCCAAAGGGCACAAGCAACCTCAGGTGGGCAAGGGGTAGCCAGCACCGCCCAACCCCCTCCCCCAGCAGGGCTAGCTGAGCTGCAAATAGAACCCAGGAGTCCTGCCTCCCAGCCCCCCCCCGCTCCAGCCACTAGACTCCCCTCCCCTCCTCGAGCCAGGGAGAGAACCCAGGAGTCCTGGCTCCTGGCTGCCTGCTAGACCCTGTGTCCCAGACCACCTTTTCACCCGGCTCCGTACAGCCCCTGGGAGAAGCCTCCATCCATGCAACGCCTTCTTGGGGGGCTGCTCGCTCTTGGGGGTCTAGCCCTGGGCCCCACCACCTCCCAGGGCCGCAGCTCCGAGCCCCCAGCTCCTGGCTCTGCCGCAGGCCCCTGGGGGGTCCCCTTGCTCTGGCCCTTCATGGGGGTCCCAGCCTGGATGCTCCAGATGCAGCCAATCAGGGCTCTGGGGTAGCCAGGCTCCCCTTGGGGCTCGCTGCCCCGGCCAAGGAGCCTTCTTGGCTGTGGCCTTCCTGGGTCTCTGGGAGCATCCAGCACCCCTGTTGCGCGTCCTGCAGGGGGGCTGCCCAGACGGGACCCCTGGGGAAGCCCGAGGGGCCCCACCCCACAGCCAGCCGGGACTCCAGCCAGCGGGTAATGCAGCAGGGTTAATCGCCGACAGGAACACAGCATAGGGCAGAGCTGGGGAGCACCGAGATCAGGGACTGCCAGCAAGGTGGGGGGGGGGATGCTCACGCCTAGTGCCCCCCAACGAAATGCCAAACAGGAGACTGCCCAGTTCCGGCTGCCTGGCCCCAGACAAGCCTGTCGCCCCTTCTCTGGCCTGTGTCTCTTTCCCGGGGCAGCAGATCACTGCTCTGCACCGACCCCTCCGGCGGGCTCCTTCCAGACGATGGGAGCAGCCACCAGGCACCAGCGTGTGGGCCGGTCTCTGTGCCCAGGCAGGCTGGCGGGAGTATCCCCCCTGCCCTCTAGGGGTGGCTGCAACGCTCACACCCCCGGGTCCCACCACCTCCCTACTTGAGTAACGCACAGGGGAAACCGAGGCACACACAGAGTATTGAGAGAAAACATTAAGAACACGCCCTCTTCGCCACACCGGGCAAACGGGTAGAAACGATGGCAAAGAACAGAATCATTAGACACGGAGATAAACACGCTTTGTTGAGGGAGAGTCAACATGGCTTTTGGAAAGGAAAAATCACGCCTCGCCGCTCTATTAGACTTCCTCGAGGGGGTCGACACACGTGGACAAGGGGGAGCCAGAGTCCTTAGACTTTCACAAAGCCTGTGACAAGGTCCCTCACCCAAGGCTCTTCCACAAACTACGCTGTCATGAGATAAGGGGGAAGGGCCGTCACCGATCAGTAACTGGGGAAAGACAGGCAATAAAGGGGAGGAATAAAGGGTCAGTTTTCAGACTGGAGAAAGGGGACTAGTGGGGTCCCCCGGGGGTCCGCACAGGGCCCAGCGCTGCTCAACGTGGGCATAAGCCAGCTGGGAAAGGGGAACCAGGGAGGCGGCCGAGTTTGCAGAGACACAAATGACTCGAGTCACTTAAGCGCAGAGCGTTACAAAGGGGCCACACAGACCGGGGGGGGGACCGGGCCTCGAAACAGCAGATGAAACTCCACGTAACGCCCGCCGGGAAACATGGGTCCTGTTCGACGTACGACCTGATGGGGGCTTGGGACGAAGAAGGACTTTTGCAGAAGGTTTGGTCTCGCTACGGTTGGTAGGGGGCTTATGCCGGCACCCCCTCGCT